CCCCCCCCCCACTCCTGCTCCTCAACACTCCGCCGCGCACCCCGCCCCGAAGCCGCAGATGATGGGCGGGTTCATCGCCGCTCGTCCCGCCCCTAATTCGACACTTTGCATTCTTACAGCCAATCAAGGAGGCTAACTCGGCCTTGTCGACCAAGGTGGCCAATGTGGTGAGACTGAGGTCCCGCCCCACATCCCAGCTGAGCGCACACAACACAGCGTCCACGTGAGTCAGCTTCTTAAAGGAGACGCCTCCGCCCTGCTAATTGCTGCGCCTGGGACTCTTTGCCAGTCCCCGGCGTCGCCAGGTGGCGGCCGAGTCCTTAGCTTCCTGAAGTCCAAGGCAGCCTTGAAGACGCGAAAACATTTGCTAGGCAAAACAGGTATTTAAATTAAAGTGCTCCCTAGGTTGAAATGCCTGTCTTATTATTTCTTCAGATCGCTTCCTTTAGCCTTACACAGAGTTACCTTTTACTAACAAATCCCTAACTCTTGACTCTCAATATCTAGGAATTCGTGGAAAACAAGGGTTTTTTTTTCCCAACGTGCTCGATTTTTTTGTTTATTTGTTTTGTTTTTTCGAGGAAAAAAAAAACAGGTTTCTCTGTGTAATCCTGGCTGTCCTTGAACTCACGCTGTAGACCAGTCTGGCCTTGAACTCACAGAGATACCCCCCCACCCCCCCACCCCGCCTCAGCCTCCCGAGTGCTGGGATCACAGGCATGCACTACCACCGCCCAGCTAACATGTTCGATTTTATTTACAACTCCCTAAGTTTTGTCTTGACTGTGGAAGTAATTCTCAAAAATATTGGTCTTCTATGTGGAGATTATCAGTCTTCTGAATCTCGAGATTTATTGAAAAGGATATCTTTGCCCTTTGCCCTCACCAGTGTTTAAGTTGACAGATTTTTATCATTTCATTGGCTTTCCCATGTAATTATGTCTGCTGACTATAAAGATAGCAAAAATATTTGATCATGTTTATTTCTTAAAAATTTATATAAATATACAATATATATACAAATAAATGTATATAACACTAGCATATATAAACGATATTGTATACTAATAATATATAATCATATATATCATTAGTATATACTATAAAATATAATAGTTATATATAAAACTAATATATTTATACACTAGTGTTTGAAGTTAGTTTGCATAGTGGAATAGGTGTCCTGAAGAAAACCCTAGTACTTAATTTCTTAACCCTAAATCCTCCAGTATTTTCATTAATTTATAAAAAGTTGTTCTGATTTGACTTTATAGAACATGCCTTTAACCCGGGCTCTCAGGGAGGCAGAGACAAGGGGATCTCTGTAAATTCGAAGCCAACCTGGTTTATATAGTGAGTTTTAGGATAGCTAAGGCTACATAGTGTCTCAAAAAAAAAAAAAAGCTACTCTAAACATCAACAATAAAGGACTCTTTGGATAAATGAGAATTTTGTGGGGGGAAAAGACACAAGTATATTGGGGGTTCTCAAAATTCTTTTATTTTTCTTTCATATAAAACTATTACATTTAGAACTGTGCACACAGGTGCTTGCTTGTAATCATGACACTCTCGAAAACTGAGGCAAGAGGCTCAGGAACTTTGCTACAGTGAAACTGCCCTAAACCAAGGTGCTCATTTTTTACAGGAACACACACTGCCTCATACCCCCACCCCCACCCCAGGCCCAGCTTCTGTAAACAGGTCCAGGGCCTCAGGCACTCTAGCGAGTACTCTGCCTGGTTGTTACATCACCCTCCCCTCTTTGAATACCAAACTGAGACACTTCTAGCTACCCTGCCCTTGTTGGTCTCTTATTTCCACCCTACTGCTGCTGTTCCTGAGTGAAGAGCTTGGATTACAGATTTGTTTTTTATTTTTTGTTTGTTTGTTTTTGTTTTTTTGAAACAGGGTTTCTCTGTAGCTTTGAAGTCTGTCCTGGAACTCACTTGGTAGACCAGGCTGGCCTCAAACTCATGGAGATCCACCTGTCTCTGCCTCCCCAGTGCTGGGATTAAAAGCGTGCGTCGCCACCTGACTGAATTACAGCACTCCAGCATGCTGCTTCATTTCTTAAAAGACTTCTGTCCTCTGCTGACAATTTCAAAATAGATGTGGGTGGGAGCATAGCATACTTCTTCAACTTGCTTTATTTTTGTTTTAAGTTACCAGCCATGATCAGTCTCTTTTAATTTTGTTATTTATACAGACGTCTTCAGAAATACATGTTGGCCTGGGTGCTGGAGGAGACCAGGGACAGTGTCATATCCTAATGAGCTGGAGTTACAGGCAATTGTAAGCCATTAGCATAGGTGCTAGTAATCTCGGAACTCGTGACCTTTCTGGGAGCATCAAATATTCTTTTCGTAACCATTGAACCATCTGTCCATCTCTGATCATTCTTTGATGGCAAATGTATTTTTATTCACAAATTTACCATTGTCTATAATTTTCTATACCATGCCATCGACATCTGTTTATTGAGCTTTTCCTACAGATGGACATGTAGGTTAGCATTGATAAAATAGCAAGTGTTTCTAAATATAATAATTTTCAAAATAAGTACAGTGCCTAAGCCCCAGAAAAGAACTAGGTAAAAGGTGAAGCAATGATGAGTCTCTTCCTCCCCCACCTCCTCTTTTTTTTTAAGGGGGGGGATTCAGGACAGGGTTTTGTTTTGTTTTATTGGTTTTTCGAGACAGGGTTTCTCTGTAGCTTTGGAGCCTGTCCTGGAATTAGCTCTTATAGGCCAGGCTGGCCTCAAACTCAGAGATCTGCCTGCCTCTGCCTCCGGAGTGCTGGGATTAAAGATGTGTGCTACCATCCCTAGTCTCTTGAGTTTCCAAATCACTAAGTCTATTTTTGATAATAGTGAGGTAAGTACTGTTTTCATCTTCATTTTGTCAATGATGAGTTCGTTAACTATCACAGTAATTAGCCTGACCCAGCTCACCTGATATAGTTATGAAATACAGTACTTATAATCTTTGAGGAAGATAGAAGAATCCTGTTTATAAAGGGTGATCTGGATGATATGATGTGCAGAGTTTGGGTCCCAGGAAAGTGGGAACAAAGAGTGAAGGAACTGAAGGAACTGAAGGGACAGGTTCATTGTTAACACAGATGGATGCACAGGTCTCCCAGGCCACGGCTTCCAAAAGGATAAAAATAAATGAAAGGGGGCTGGAGAGATGGCTCAGTGGTTAAGAGCATTGACTGCTCTTCCAAAGGTCCTGAGTTCAATTCCCAGCAACCACATGGTGGCTCACAACCATCTGTAATGAGGTCTGGTGCCCTCTTCTGGCCTGCAGGCATATAAGCAGACAGAATACTGCATGCATAATAAATAAATAAATATTAAAAAAAAAAGAAATAGGAGAACATGGTTGTTCCCGAAAAGACTGCAAACAGTCTATTCACCTCATGAATTGTTCCTGGAATGTGCCCAAGTCAAGACCATTAAGAAGTTGGTTATTTAAAACAGTAGTGGCCACAATAACTCTCAGGGGCATTTCAGAAGCAGGTGTCTTCACATGCTTCCCAAGATCTGTGTGAAGCCAGATTGCTGCCGGAGTTGTGTCATTCCCAGGGAGATGTTTGCACATCCTCATGATGACATCTGCAAGAATGGAAACCCAGTGCTGTTTTAGACTTGCTGCTGCTTCCCCACCACCTCCGTCCACAACAGCCCAGGGAACAGAAGAAAAACTGTCTTCTTGGGGATGTGGAGTAGGGTGGAGGACTATGTCAGTGGAAGAGTAGGTCAGTGGAGTAGTCTTTGCCTATCTTGGTTGAGATTAGCTTTAAGGTACTTGGGAATGTTGACTGGGGTGAGAAATAATGAGCCTAAAATAAATATGTATTTTAGTGCTAGATAATATGCAATTAAATATAATGTAGCAAAATGAAAGGAGAAGGGCAAGAGAACTGAACTATATCCTATGGAATTTGGCTGCAGTAGTTTAGAATAAATTGGTATTTGAACCATTATTATTTGTCATAGCCACATGTTGGGGTGACATCTTTGGGGTCCAGCCACGACGGGTTCATGTGTTCCAGGGTAAGGGTAAGTGGGTTAGAAATGTTAGGCAGAATAGACAGAGATACAAAAGAAATACAGAAACATGGGATAGTCCTGG